CCTTTCTCTGTTACTTTTTCTCTGTCTTTCTCTCTCTTTTCTCTGTCTTTCTCTCTCTCTTTTGTCTGTCTTTCTCTCTCTCTTTCTTGCTCTCTCTTTCACTCTCTCTCTCTTTCACTGTCTCCCTCTCTCTCTCGTTTTCTCTCTTTTTCTCTCTCTTTCTCTCGCTCTCTTTCTCTCGCTCTCTTTCTCTCGCTCTCTCTCTCGCTCTCTTTCTCTCTCTGTCTTTTTCTCTCTCTTTTTCCGTCTCTCTCTTTTTCCGTCTCTCTCTTTTTCTGTCTCTCTCTTTTTCTCTCTCTCTGTCTCCCTTTTCCAGACTGGGTGTTGTGATGTGATGTGCTCAGACACCTTTTAAACACAGGCGTGTGGGCATGTGCGTTTGAAATGGCGTCACCATTGTAGAAACCATGGCAGTCAATTTACACACAGCAAGCTCCCATAAGGAGTGGCATCAGGACAACAAGATTGACTGAGTGCTTACTGAAGAGTGTTGGGTTAGGAATGGCCCACATTTTGGGAAGAGCTGCCCGACATAACACCGGGGGGATCCCGTACATCCAGGCGAGAGGGCGAATGGGGGATCACTTTTATAACCCAATGAAAAGGCAGTGCCTCTGACAGTGTGAGCACCACCCACCTGCTACATTGGCAGTGTGTGTGCCTAGATTATACGCTGACATGGTGACCCAGGGCCAATGTCTGATGCCCCAAACAAGCTGCTATTTGCCTGACCACTGGGTGGTGGGGGGTGGGGGAGGAATGGGGGGAGCGGCGAATGGGCTACGGGTCCTGCCAGCCTCGGATGGGCTCAGCCAGTTATTCTGCCCAGAATATTTGCAGACGTTGGGGGCGGCAGATCCCCCTACTACAAACAGGCACAGGCTAATCCTCGCCTCTGGCCGAAAGCAGAACCTCCCTGGTGGAACTGGGGTTGGAAAAGGCACGCAGAATCCCAGGACAAGTCGGAGCAGGGTTTCTAACCTGCTGACGGTGCAACACACCTGTACCTTCTCGCTCAGCCCAGAGCCTGAGCCAAGAAACTTGCACAATGACACATTTCAGAGCGAAAACCCACATCTCCAGTTTACTGGATTAATTACACAAGGACGTCTTCCATTCTCGAGCAGTGAGACGATACAGAGAGTAATGGTAGACCCTGTGTGGTTGTACTGGAGGAGACCAACTCCCCAATTCAGACCTGGAAGCACACCAGCATTGGGGAGGGAGGGTCTGGGGAAGGATTTTATTGATTTTAATTTGTTGGGTGTGGTGAAGGGGTGGTGCGTGGGTTGGGGGTGGGGGGGGGCCTTCACTTTTTGTATTCTCAGGGATACAGGGACCCCCGAACCCGGCCGGTGACTTTTGAGAGGTAGTGGCGGTGCACAGCAAGATTCCACCCCTTTGGCGAAAGGGACGCGAGGGCGGATTCCACTCCCTCAGGAAGCTGAGAGCGGCAGCAGGAGGGTTGCCCGAACTGGGGGTGGGGGTGGGGGGGGCAAGAAGTGACACAGACCTGCATTCGTATAGAGCCTTTCCCGACCCTCTGTGCAGCTCGGCGAAGCGGAGGGCGTTGCCACCGTCAGCCTCACTGTTTGCTCATCTGCACCCCCCACCACCCCCCTCCCCCACCCCCCGAGCCAAAGAGTCAGAAAGTGAGAAAATCAGCCAGGGTTAAGCATCAACTGTCCATCCAGAGCCTATTGGGAGCTTCTAGAGCTGGAAGGCTCCATATTCATTGCAGGAAGCATGGCTGCCTGTTGGGGCATAGCAAGATCCCGTGTCAGCAACGTGATAATGGCCAGATAATCGCTTCTTGCGATGCTGATTGAGGGATACACACCAGGGACACCCAGGAGAGCTCGCATGGTCTCCTTTCTGGGGGCGGGGCGGGGGGGGGAGAGGTGTTGGCGATATGTTTAAGTCCATTTGAGACGGCAGAAGGAGTAGGGTGGGGGAGGTGTGCGGTTTATCCGAGGGCTAAACGTCTCTTCGAAAGGCACCTGCAACGCCGCAGCGCTCCCTCAAACCTGCCCCGCAGTGCCTGGATTTCATGGTCCGGTTTCTGAAGTGGGATCGGGGCCTACAGATCCGGATAAAGGCTATAAAGGAGGTGATAGCCTAAAAGGCTGATAAAATTGGGCGCGAGAGTGCGTGTGTGGAGCTGTCAGCCTTTATCAGTGTCGTTGAGCCACGCTGTGGAACCCACACACGTAGCCACTGTCACACGAGACTGTGTGTACACTGGGGTGGCTCAGGCGATGAGCTCAGGGCATCACTTGAAGGAACCAAGGGCTGAGCTCACACTGTTTTGAGCTTCAGAGTCAGAGTTTGCAGTTTATCCAACTGCGGGGGTTAGTTGACTTTATTGGAAAATATATATATATATATAAAGACCTGCAGAAGTTGTGTGTGAAGTAATAACCCTGGGGCTCTGCTTGAGGTGCCAGTAGTTTTTATCACAGGGAACAAAGTTTGTAGAAGCGAACACAAGGACTTGACTGGATTTTGTGTGACTCACAATGAAACAGATTATGTCAGCTCTCCGAAGGATAGTTGTTTTAGGGAGAAAGATAATGTTAACTTATTATTTTGCTTCATTTAAATAGCAGTTGCTATGTGCCAGTTACAAATCTATTGGCAGTGCAGTTTAAGATGATGGCGCCAGTTGGTGTGAGTGTGTTGGGGAAATGCGAGTGGCTGGTTAGAACAGGACTCAAGAAAGAACTTTGTTAATATTGGGCTCTGGGTATGACCCAGGGTTCGATATAGATTACTGTCACCAATCCTCCTTTTCCTACCATTTTTGATTTGAAAAAATTAACAGAAAATATCCTCTGAGGGTCACGGTGCCACAAATTGAGGAAAAAAAACTTACAAATTGCTTTGACGATGCCCTGTAGCTCTGTGGTGCCCGCTGGTCATGGGTGGCCTGGCATATACCAGCAGACAGCGTGCGTACTCCCTTTCCAAGGGCACCCTGCTGTGCACATGACCGCGAAAGAAGGGTAGGCCGTGGGAACAATGCACCCCGCTCCCACCTCCCCACCTCCATGGCCAGTTGCCTGAACCTGATTAGTGACCCCTTGGGCCAGAGCTGGGAGCCGTGGCAGGAGGGGGGGGCCTTCGATTTGCTTTTCTCCCCCTGCCCTGGGTGTCCAAAGGACAGGAGCGTGCAGCCTGAAAGGGCAGGCCGAAATTTAAAAGAGGCCCCTTTTGGGGCGGCGTGGTGGCTCAGTGGTTAGCACTGCTGCCTCACAGCGCCAGGGACCCGGGTTCGATTCCACCCTCGGGCGACTGTCTGTGTGGAGTTTGCACATTCTCCCCGTGTCTGCGTGGGTTTCCTCCGGGTGCTCCGGTTTCCTCCCACAGTCCAAGGATGTGAAGGTTAGGTGAATTGGCCATGCTAAATTGCCCATAGTGTTTAGGGAAGTGTAGATTAGGTGAGTTATAGGGAGATGGGTCTGGGTGGGATGCTCTGAGGGTTGGTGTGGACTTGTTGCGCCGAAGGGCCTGTTTCCACACTGTGGAGATTCTATGAGTTCTATGATCTAAAGTAACGAGAGAGGGTCTGAAACCCACTGTAATCTATATACACATGGCTCAAACATTGCCTTGGGAGTCTGTGAACCTGCTTAGTTTATGGCTGCATGCCACACAGCCCCTGCCAGCTCTCCCACTGGGCTCCTCTGTCGCTGCCACGCAACAAGATGGAATGCCAGGACATGGACTGGTGAAGCAGCCCAGACAAGGAAGCCCCTTTGCACGCAGGGAACATACACCTTAGGAATGGAAAGGACACTCTGATCCCAGGCCTGCTGAAAAATGGAGGTGCTGGAGTCAGGGTGGAGAAGTCAAAACCAAGCCGAAGGGTTTGATCAAGTCCCTCAGCTTCCCCGCAGGGTCTCCCGTCTGTCGGAATTTGAGGCGAGGTGACTCCTGTAGGCTCCCCTTGGCCAGTCCAGGTACCATCTCCCAGAATACTGTGGAGACACTGCCCGTCCTTCCCTTCCTGAAGGAGTGAGAGGTTGGTGAAATGCCTCTCTGACGCTTAGTGACAGTGTCGCCAGCACCCATCAATGTGTGGGGGTTGTGGGGGGGTGAGAGGGGCGGGGGGGTGGGGTCGGGGAGGGAGGGGTTATGGTGGGGGTGGGGTGGGGGGGTACCCTGGCCTGAAAGTAGCCTTCAAATTGGTCAGGAGCTCAGGGTGGAATTCTGGCCCCGTCTAGGGGCTTTGTGGGGCCATTGTAGGTGGGCGGAGTGGCCAAGGGTCACCCTCCCCCCCGCCGAAATATGCCAGAGCTGCCCGACGGGGTGAGGGGTGCCTCATTGAGGAGGTGGGGGTCATCCAGAAGTCAGTGCCCTCCACTGAGGAAGCGCCCTCCTCCAGCCCGTTGCCTCACCGAGTTAGATGGACGTGAGAGAGGCTCGGAGTGACTTTCTTTCTGGTTTTGTTTCCGCAGTGGTGGGAAGTAGACAGCGGCTCAGCGAAGCTGGATCCCATGCCTGGCAAGGGCTCTGCAGAGGAGACCGCGTGCCCGCTCCTCGCCCCCAATCAGATCAAGCGCGAGGACGAAGACTTCAGCTCCTACTTGGACTTGGACCTCTTCCTGTCAGATCTGACCGGCGTGGAGCCTGGGGCTAGCGCCACCGTGCCAGCCGGCTACCCCCTGGCAGATGGGCCAGGGGTCGGCAAAGTGAAGAGGGAGGCTGAGAATGGCATGGACTGGAATGGCCCTGACACACCCCACACCAGCCTGGTGGCCGAACTTTTGTCCTCCGAGGTCCAAACTGGACATCCGGCCAATCAGACCAACTGCGTTGACCCCCGCAGCAAAACCTACACCAACCTGGGGGCCATCGATCACAGCTTGCCAGCCTCGGTGATGGATAAACTGGTCAACCAGCCGCACGCGTTAACGGGAGCCACAGGGCACGGGTTCCAGAAGCAGGCTGGCATGGCCTCTGCCACTCCCTTGGCCAATCCGCTGGCAGATGAGAAACCCGTTGTAATGCCAAAAAGCCACATGCCCAGCCCCCTGGTCCACCCGTACTACCCTCCAGCGCAGTTGGGCCAAGGCCCAGGAGATCTCAGACCACAGGCCCGCAGCCAGTTACAGATTTCCCAGCATTATCGGTATTGCCAGCTCCAACAACCGCTGCCCCTTGGCTACCACATTCTGTCCCGATACCCATCCTACTACTCACATCAGCCGCCACCCCACCAGTATCAGGGGCAGGTCCATTTCTACACGTCTGACTTCAAAGCTGCCCACTCCATACAGGGCACAGTCCTGCCACCATCTCCTCCCTCCTCCTCCTCCTCCTTGTTGGCTTTGGTGCCACCTGCGCCAGAGGAGGCCAAGGTGAAGCGGAGCAGGAGGACATGGTCTCGGAAGCGTGCCACCACCCACACCTGTGACTACCCCGGCTGCGGCAAGATCTACACCAAGAGCTCCCACTTGAAGGCCCACCTCCGTACCCACACAGGTAACCCCGAATGCCAGCTTCCAATGTAACCATCCTCTCGCATCAGCATTGCCCACAATGCATCGTGGTTGTGTCAGCAATGCAGCGACTAAATTCGACACATAATGGAAATGGGTAATTGGTCAATTCGATCAGTCTTATTAATGAGGGAACGCTGACAAGAAACCTTGAGCTCATCTAAAACTGGTTTGTTGCTATTTATTCACGAGATGTGGGAATCACTGGCAGGGCCAGGCCCATCTTGAGCTGCCCTTGAGAAGGTGGTGGTGAGCTGCCTTCTTGAACCGCTGCCCTTTCCATAGTGTCTGTACAACTCCAAAGCCCTTAGGGAGGGAATTCCAGGATTATGACCCAGCGACGCTGAAGGAACGATGATATATTCCCAAGTCAGGATGGTCAGTGGCTTGGAGGGGAACTTGCAGGGGGTAGTGTTCCCATGTATCTGCTGCCTTTATCCTCCTAGATGGAAGTGGTCATGGGTTTTTGGAAGGTGCTGTTTGAGGACATCTGCAAACTGCATCTTAAGATCTGTTCCCCCATCGGAACTGACCCACATTTCTTCCTGTCTTTCAAGCCTGCTCTGAAAGACCGTTCCCCTGACAGTGCAGGGGGAATCAGTGTGGATTATGTTCCCATGCCTCTGGGGGTGTGGGTAGGAGTGGAGCGGGAGAGTCCTGAACCCACAGCCTTCAGCCATTCAGAGTGACACTGGCCAAGCTAATCTGACACATTGGAGTCAGTTACTTGTTAAAGTGGAACCAGGACCTTTCAATGTTCCTTCCACTTTACACTGAGTGGAGGGGAGGGCCCTTTTGTGGTGCAGTGACGGTACTCATGCCCCTGGACCAGAAGGGCCTGGGGGTTCAAGTCCCACCTGCTCCAGAGGGGTGTCAAACCATCTAACAGCTTAGTATGGAAAATATCACTGAGCGGAGCTCTTGTGGGTAGTTTCCCTGCCTCTGAGCAAGAAGCTCTGGATTCTAGACCAACTCCAACACTGGATGGTCACAGTATGGCCAACGGGTCGAATGTAGAACTGTAAGTCCTGGCACGGTGCCAGGCATTCGGGGCGATTGGCAGAAAGTGGGAGGGTGAATGAATGGTACAGCTTTGGCCTCCTCTAATTCCCAAGCAGGGAGGGGTTGGGCCTGAGGGTAGCCCCTCCCACTGTCCCTCTCACTAATGCAAGGACACTGAGTGCAGTGTCCAAACCCACTACCCCTTCCATCCAGAAGGACAAGGGCAGCAGATAGATGGGAATACCACCCCCTGCAAGATCCCCCCCACAAGCCACTCACCATCCGTTCCTTCACTGTCGCTGGGTCAAAATCCTGGAATTCCCTCCCTAAGGGCATTGTGGGTCAACCTACAGCACATGGACTGCAGCGGTTCAAGAAGGCAGCTCACCACCACCTTCTCAAGGGCAACTAGGGACAGGACAAGAAATGTTGGCCCAGCCGGTGATTCCCACATCCCACAAGTGAATAAAAGAAAGCTCGGGGGGGTGGGTCGGGGATGGGGGGTGGGGGTGAGTGGATGGGTCACCTGATTTAGTTTACATGGCCCCTCCCTGCTAGCCTTGGAAACATCCACGCTGTAACAATAACTATTTATATTTGTGTAGGAGCTTTAGTGCACTCAAACATCCTAAAGGGCTTCACACGGCCACTTTACAACAAAGACCATCTGAACAAAGACATTAGGCCATTCAGCCCATTGGGGCTGCTCCACCATTCAGTGAGATTGTAGCTGTTTGATAATCCTCAACTTTTCCATAACCCTCAATTCCCTCACCGATTTAAAAAATCTGTCTACCTCAGCCTTGAATATACTCAACAGCCCTCTGTGGTAAAGAATTCTGCAGATTTGCTACCCTCTGAGAGAAGAAATTCCTCCTCAACTCCATCTTAACTGGGCAGTCCATTATTCTGAGATGATACCCTCTGGTTTTAGACTCACCCACAAGGGGAAACGACCCCTCCACCTTGTGAGGTTCTTAAGAATCTTGTATATTTCAATAATTTTATGGTCTCCTTTGATTCTTCTAAACTTAAATAAGCACAGGCCAAATCTACCCGACCTCTCCTCATAAGACAGTCCTTCCATACCGTGGATCAGCCTAGTGAACCTTCTCTAGACTGCCTCCAATGGCAGTCCAACTTTACTGAAATAAGGGGTTTAAAACTATACACGGTGTTCCAGCTATGGCCTTGTATAGTTTTAGCAATACTTCCCAAAATCTGTACTCCCTTCCCTTTGAAATAAAGGCCAACGTTCCATTTGCCTTCCCTATTTCCCGTAAGCTCTTTGCGATTTATATACAAGGACTGCCAAATCCTTCTGTCCTGCAGCTATGTTCTGTTGAATAATATTCAGCTCCTCTGTTGTTGCCCACATGCCTAACCTCCATATTATTTCACATAGAATCCCTACAGTATGGCAACAGGCTCTTCGACCCACCAAGTCCACACTGAACCTCAGAGCATCCCACCCAGACCCATCCCCCTATAACCCACCTAATCTACACATCCCTGAACACTACAGGCAATTTAGCACGGCCAATCCACCCTAACCTGCACATCTTTGGACTGTGGGAGGAAACTGGAGCACCCGGAGGAAATGCACGCAGACACGGGGAGAATGTGCAAACTCCACACAGACAGTCGCCCGAGGGTAGAATCAAACCCGGGTCCCTGGTACCATGAGGCAGCAGCGCTAACCACTGAGCCGCCATGCCACCCAGTTTATCTGCCAGGTTTTTGCCAATGGGGCAACATTATTAAGGGAAATGACCAAAAGTGAAAGAGTTGGGTTTTGTGAAGGATCTCGAAAGATGAAACGGTAGTTGAGGAATCTCCAGAGTAAATTCAAGAGAAGGGAGTCCTTGGCTGCTGAAAGCAAGACAATCAGTGACAGAGGGACTAAAATTGGATCTGGAGTGGGGAGAGGGCTGGACAGTGAAAGGTAATAATCTCTAACTTCCCTTCATTGCATAACGCCTCCATAATCAATCCTTTAAGGTAGCTCTGCGCCTGGGTCTGAGAGGCCACGTTGTTAGTGTCTCCCCTGCCCAGGATGTTGCCAACTGCTGCGGGGTCACACGCCAACGTAACTCGGAGGAAGAATAGTGGATGGTGCTGGAGGTGATTACAGGGAGAGCTGTGCTTTTCGGAGGGAGTTGAAAACATGTTAGAATTGGGGTGTGAATTATCCAGGCGTAGATTTAAGGTGTTTGGGGCAAGGTTTAAAGGTGATGTACGAGGCAAGTTTTTTTACACAGAGGGGGTTGGGTGGCTGGAACTCGCTGCTGGGGGAGGTAGTGGAAGCAGATACGACTTTAAAGGGCGTCTTAACAAATATGTGAATAGGATGGGAATAGAGGGATATGGTCCCCGGAAGGGTAGGGGGTTTTAGTTGTGACGGGCAACATGTCGGTGCAGGCTCGGAGGGCTGAAGGGCCTGTTCCTGCGCTGTAACTCTCTTGGTTTCTTTCTTTGACTCGGGTAAGGCCAGGAGACAGTGGGGAGCTGGATCTGCTGTGTGTTAGAACAGAGGTCACTGAGCTTTCAATGGCTTGTGGAGAGTAGAACAGGGGAGGTTGGGCAGGATTGGATTGGTATTGTTCAGTCTAAAGGGTGGCTCAGTGGTTAGCACTTCTGCCCCACAGTGCCAGGGACCCGGGTTCAATTCCACCCTTGGATCACTGTCTGTGTGGAGTTTTCTCCGGGTGCTCTGGTTTCCTCCCACAGTCCAAAGATATGCAGGTTAGGGTGGATTGGCCATGCTACATTTCCCCATAGTCTCCTGGGATGTGTGGGCTAGGTGGGTTAGCCATGGGAAATGCAGGCTTAGGGGGATAGGGCTGGGTGCTCTTGGGTGGGTCAGTGCAGACTTGATGAGCTAAATGGCCTCTTTCCGTGCTGTAGGAATTCAATGATTCTAGAGGTTTCCAAAGGTCAGGATGAGGCACTCAGCAGCAGACGAGGTAGGGCACAGAAAATGATGGGTGATGTTACAGGGCTGAAAACTGGAAATGGATCATAAATGTGATTTTGGAAACTGGAGTCGAGGCCAGATGAGAAACCAGGGTTGTGTGCACTCTGCCCCTGGCACTAACAACCTGAGAACTCCTTGGAAAGTGCATTCACTGTGTTCTAATGTCAAAAACCCAGCAACCAATTTGTTCACAGCAAGCTCCCACAATCTATCAATGAGATGACACAGATTAATATTTCAGCGAAGTTGGTTGAAGGATAACATTTGCTACAATCACAGCACAAACTCTCCCGTTCCTCTCTGAAACAGCGCCATGGGGTCTCTTAGTTCCTCGGTTTAAAGTCGCTTTGGAAGGACCACACCCATAACAGTGTAGCTAACCCCAAACCCCTCGTGCCATATGGGAAAGGCCAGCTCCTGCTAAAGGGGGTGAACATAGAAGGACCAAAATATAGGAGGAACTCTGGTATTTGAGACAAGAGAGGAGCTGAGCTGTGGAAAGTGTAGTCTGTTCATTTGCTTGGGTCGGTTCTGGTATTTGATTAAATTGTAGCTGACCTGTACCTAAACTCCAGCTTGGGGATGCAATGGCCTAGTGGTATTATCGCTGGACTGTTAATCCAGAGACCCAGATAATGTTCTGAGGACTTGGGTTTGAATCTCACCATAGCAGATGGTGAAATTTGAATGTTTTTTAAAAATCTGGAATTAAGAATCTAATGATGATCATGAAGCCATTGTCGATTTTTGGGAAAAACCCATCTGGTTCACTAATATCCTTTAGGGAAGGAAACTGCCATCCTTACCTGGTCTGGCCTACGTGTGACTCCAGACCCACAGCAATTGTGGTTGATTCTGAACTGCCCTCAGGGCAATTAGGGATGGGCAATAAATGCTGCCTGGTCAGCGATGCCCTCATCCTGTGAATAAATTTTTTAAAAACTGCCTGTGTTTGATACATCTCCTCTTATATCACAGCCTCTCAGTCCAAAAATTGCAGTTAACCTTCAACACATTAAGAAGAATCTGGATGAGCACTTAGAACATAGTAGGCTACAGGGCGAGTGCAGGTAAATAAGATCAGTGTGGTTTGGTATTTGTTGGTCGACATGTACATGATGGGTCGAAGGGCCTGTTCCTGTGCTGTAAGACTTAGCCTCGAAAACTCGAATTGTCCCCCAGTGCCAGGAGTGGGATTTCCTCTCTTGCCTTGTGATGTGCCTCAGTTGCCAACTTCCCTGTCTCCGAGGGGCAATGATTCGCCAGTCCCACACCAGGAATGGGCGCGGAGTCTAGCTCCACACACCAAAATGTTAAGGTGCCAGCCATCACTTGGATGTTCAGAACTCCACTCCGTGCACCGCCTCATATTTCCACATTAGGCCAGGGTCACAAAATCAGGTTACTACCACATTTCTGATTGTGGGAGCTTGCTGTGTACAAATTGGTCGTGGAGTTTCCTGCATTCAAATTCTGAGGAACAATCCATTGGTTGTAAAGCACTATGAGATGTGCTGGCATCATGCAAGGCGCTATGGAAATGCAATTCTTTTACGCTGCCTCCTGTCACCAACGTTCCCCCCTCCCCCTCCCCGCCCGCTCGCTCGCTCTGGGAAGCATGTAGTCTATACGACACTGGGAATCGGGGCCAGGTGGGAGAACTGGGTACATTCCAGCAATTCCAGGTCTCACTGCTTCCCATTAAACAGTCTTGGAATTCTCTCCACATCCCAAATCTGAAGTGTGTTGTTGGCACTGGAATCAGTCCAAAGATGTGCAGGCTAGGGTGGATGGGCCGTGCTAAATTGCCCCGTAGTGTCCATGGATGTGCAGGCTAGGGTGGGTCGGCCGTACTAAATTGTCCCATAGTGCCCAGGGATGCGCAGGTTAGGGTGGGTCGGCCGTGCTAAATTGTCCCATAGTGCCCAGGGATGCGCAGGCTAGGGTGGGTCGGCCGTGCTAAATTGCCCATAGTGTCCAGGGATGCGCAGGCTAGGGTGGATGGGCCGTGCTAAATTGTCCCATAGTGTCCAGGGATGTGCAGGCTAGGGTGGGTCAGCCATGCTAAATTATCCCATAGTGTCCAGGGATGTGGAGGCTAGAGTGGGTCGGCCGTGCTAAATTGTTCCATAGTGTCCAGGGATGTGCAGTTTAGGGTGGATGGGCCGTGCTAAAGTGCCCATAGTGTCCAGGAATGTGCAGTTTAGGGTGGATGGGCCATGGGAAATTATCCCATAGTGCCCAGGGATGTGCAGTTTAGGGTGGATTGGCCATGCTAAAGTGCCCATAGTGCCCAGGGATGTGCAGTTTAGGGTGGATTGGCCATGTTAAAGTGCTGATAGTGCCCAGGGATGTGCAGTTTAGGGTGGATGGGCCGTGGGAAATTATCCCATAGTGCCCAGCGATGTGCAGGTTAGGGTGGATTGGCCGTGCTAAATTGTCCCATAGTGCCCAGGGATGTGCAGTTTAGGGTGGATTGGCCGTGCTA